CTGTAAATCCGGTAAATGTAATCATAAAAAAGAACGTGCGGGAGGCATGGCAGGGAGAATTAAAATATAAAGATGGAGGTTACGGACACATAAATTCTGTATAGAAATAAACATTTAGAAACTATGTGTTAGATGGTATTCCAATCACCAATAAGAATTCTTTTTTTTTTTTTTAGGAAAAATACATACTTCAATAGTACGTGCCAACAACCATCGAGTATCAAGCGTTTTTGTATCCGGTGGTTATTAGATATGGATAGACGCAGAGATATGGTGGAAATTATTAAGCTACGAAGGATAGGTGCGGCGATTTCGGTTTCCCAATATCATTAGGTAATTCCCGTTTCGCAAATATCATTCCTTCAGCAAGGAGAAATCTTGCATCATCGTCGCTCTTATTATTATTTTTTTTTAAAAAAGGAAAATATTTATGATGAATCGAAGATCAATGGGTGGTTAATGAAGAGGTAATTTAACTTACAAGATCAATTTGACACGTGCCAAAACGTAACACTTTTATAAGTATACGTCGACGTGAGGACGTGAGAGTGTCTAGATTTCGCACGATGGATTCATACGTTACCATATTTATTATGCGATTCGGCAGTTTAATAGGATTGTGCTTTTCCAATCATCGAGTGTTTGAATAGGAATATTATTGTAAGAATGGGCATTTTGAATATAATCACCGCAAGCACCAACGAGACCTTATGGCCAAGGGTGAACTCGAAAATATCCGGCGCGATATTGATAAAATCGAAGCTATCATTGATACTGGTGGCGAACTGTTTAAAAAGATCTTCAGCTTAGTAAACCGACTGCATGTCAAGCATGCCTCCGCCGAAAATGGCGAAATTTTGGATATAGCGTTAGGTCTTTGATGAGAAATCAGAAAATCCCTAATGGTTGTTGTGCCAACGAGTATAATAGAAATGAGACAAAAGTTATCACGGTCACCTTTGAGTGTCCGCAATGAATCAATGAATTCCACAGTGCAGTCATCGCCAGCGGACAGGCGCGAAGCCTCATCAACGATGAGAATAATTGGCTTTGGTGAGAGGAGGTATCTTTTTGAAAAGAAATCCTGGAAGGTGCTGGACGTGCATTTCTCGGCTGTATTAAACAGTTTTCGGTCTGTAGTTCGGAATTTTTTGCATATACTCTCCCAGAACACAGAAGGATCTTTAGTATTAACAGTGGCGTCGAAAGTCCAATTTCTGTGGATCAAACCCAGCTTCTCTAATCTTTTCCGGATGATCTCGAAACCATCGTAGAATCGCATGACAGGTTGTAGACTTGTCACTTTGACGATGCCCAAACAAAAGAGTGAACTTACGTTGAAGGAGAAATTGTGCCACTTTTTCAACTTCGACTTCAGGTTCAATAAAGAAGTTAGAATCGGGATAAGCCTCGTTAGCGAAAGCGAAGAAGCGACGCTCTGGATTTACAAAAAAAAAAAAAATTTAATCAGAAAACCTTGCGGCTAGAAATTATTAAACTTTTCGCTGTAATAATAATAAAACAAATGCAACTTACTAGGCGCAACCACACCATATTCCTCCTCAGCCTTTCGTTTACCAGTATATGCTGGAAGTCATGATATCAATGTGGTGACAGATGATAAATAATGCGACAGTAGACAAAGCACAACATAAAAGCAAATATTTTAAATATTTTACAATAATATGATGCATTTTTTGGGCGGTACCTGTATATTAGTAAATGTGATACAATGTGGACAAAAAAATCAAAAAAAAAACGAAGAAATTTCTTTTTCGAGAGGTAAAACGTTGGGAGACACTTACCAGTGGT